CTTTGAGTCCAGAAATGGATATAGGACAAGAGGATTTGATATCCTTCTTTTTGTTCGTAAAACTGGCAGGTAAGTCCTGAGACGAGTGAGCCAGACTATTTTTTGAATGAAGAGGTCTAGTCCGTTTCCAAAATGACGATATAAAATCGATCTCTGGGCTTTTAGGAGAAGAGGTTAAATCGAAAAGGTTCAACTTTTCATTCTCCAATCTTAGATCCTTCTCGGTTTCTTGGTTAAAACTGCCCACAATGGCAGTTTTATCTGACCACAGCTCTGATTGTTTAACTGTAGTGGGTTGGTGCAGATTATCTGGAGATAAGTTAGTATTATATGATGTAGTAGGTGGTGAGGGAGATAGAGAAGATGTAAAAGAATGAGGGGAGATACGAGTTGATGTGTTTTGAGATGCTTGATGGGCGCTATTTTCGTTTGAACAAGTGGCATTTTCACAGTCCTCCAATTCTTGAATAGGCTCTGGCTCATATTCTTGATAGGATAAACTGAGGATCTCAGCTTGAGAGCTAAGTAATCGTCGCAAGATCACATCTTTAGTACGTTTGAACTCTAGCCCAGGGTCGGTAGGCACGGTCCCGCGAACAATTGTCTCAGGGGTCAAGAATTCTAGGTCTATCAAACTGGCCTCTCCTTTGTAAGAAGTAGATGAGAGAGAAGCGTCCATCAAAGAAATCACAATTATTGCGTCCTTTAGACATCCAAAGGTGAAATTAAATGTAAAAAAGAGAGAAATATGGGAAATAAAAGGATATTCTTAAGTTAGGGGAAAAACGAGCCTAGCGAGAGAGTAAATAAACGGAAACTAAAAAACGGAATGGAATAAAAGCGCAATTAAGACCAAGCTTAGGACTTCTTCAAGATATCTTGGTGAAACTATGCTGTAAATAAAATATGACTGGTTTTTATCACACAGTTTGACGATTAAGTATAGGATAAATGAGAGGATTAACGAGAAAACAGAGTTGGAAGCAAGTGAGATGGAGTAGCCTAACTAAGCGAAATCGTCGTCAAGTCAAGATGCATTTGGGATTTACCGGCTGGCCACTATCAATGGACGAACTGGCTTGAGTCAGTCGCACTACGATGCAACTATATGATAACCCGATAGCTGCCTTTTCGACTTCCTTTTGGCACAAAGTATTCTGTACTTCTAAAAGTGGAAATGGGCGAAAGGATTTAACCTCAAAACCAATTTAACAGTGAAATTCAATAAATCGCAAAAGTACATACAATGTTGCCAGTCTCTCCTGAGCTTAGTAAGGTTCTTCCTAACTATCGAGTTACAAGGTTTAAGACTTAATATAATGCAAATGGTGATTAACTTTTCAAAGTACTGAAACTGGTGACTGGTAAACTTGATAAGGATTACCTTTTTTGTTATGGACGAATTAAATTCGGTGTCAGC